TTTATTTTAAATGCTTTTATTACGATTCTTAGTGGGCTTCCTAAACTTATTTTGGCGTGGCTTTTTCTGTCTTATTACTCATAGCAACAAGTAAACATCATGTAAAAACGTTGCCTCGTGAGTTCTGCGTGCTGCCGTTTGCGTGTTTTATGATCACAGCAGTTAAACAGCTAAGCTGTATTTAATTTTTAAGCAATGGTTGATCAATTGTCAGATCACACATAAAAAGCACTTTGGTTTGCTATTATCTGTCTCACTGAGACAGATCTCAGACAGATCCTGAGACGCTCCTGTGTGACATATTTATTTTATTCACTTTAAAAAAAATCAGACTAGTGATTTCTCTTGGCGTTCAGTTTATACATTCAAACAGCACAGCACTCTATTTAAACTTCCTACATGTAAATCTATGTTATTTGTCCATCCATCCATCCATTTTCATCCGCTTATCCGGAGTCGGGTTGCGGGGGCAGTAGCGTCGAGAGGCCCAGACTTCCCTCTCCCCAGCCACTTGGGCCAGCTCCTGTGGGGGAATCCCAAGGGGTTCTCCGGCCAGGTCCGGTAAGAAGCCCGCTCCGACAGCTTCTGGCGTTTTTAAAAAGTATCCCAGGGGCACGGTAAGGGTCGGAGATGTTTAGTCTATTTAATTTCTGACTATATAAAACAATTTCTTCGGTTTTAAAGTGTGAAGTAAACTCCGACAGAGTAAAATCCAAGCCGATCCCGTTCATTTTGTTTACCTTTGTTGCCTGCCAACATGGCGTCTACTCTCTGAGAGTCACGTGATGTCCGGAGCTCTATACCTCCCTGCTTGACACTCAGCTTTAAGGTGTTGGATTGGGGGGTTAAACCACCAAATAGTTCCCGAGCGCGGCTACAGCCGCAGCTCACTGCTCCCCACGGGGATGGGTCAAATGTGTAGATGAATTTCACCAGTGTGTGATGACAACAGAGCAATGTGCAAGCTGGTGGAGACTCTTATGTGAAGCTGTCAAGCACATATTGATGGGAGATTTTGTGTTTTGTTGTATCAGATTTCTGACAATAAAGGTGTGTTGAGGAACAACCCAGTAGCTTGATCTGGTTCAGGTACATGTGCAGAGTAAGACTGATGGCGTGAATAGTACAAACAACGACTGCTGAGTGAGCCAGAACACCATCTGTTACATAACTGCTAGGTTCTGGTGAGGAAACCGTTGTGAATGTTTCACTATATCTTTATGGATTTACATGTAAAGTACATGAATGTTAATTATTAAGTGTTTCTTAATGTAAAAGACAGATAATTACATCATAAATGTAACATTATTTTTTCTGTTTTACAGTCTCTTCAACAGCAAACATCTAAAATGTTCCTGCTGACACCTGGGTGTCACCTTATCGTGGTGGAGGAGTTTGAGTGCCCTAATGATCCTAGGAGCTATATTGTCTGGGGCACTTTGTGCCCCTGGTAGGGTCTCCCATGACAAATTGGTCTTAGGTGAAGGGTGAGACAAAGAATGGTTCAGAGGATCTTTCATGAATGTAAATTCAAAGAGTCAGCGTACCCGGCCTGGAGGGTTACCGGGGTCCCACCCTGGAGCCAGGCCTGGGGTTGGGGCCCGTGAGCGAGTGCCTGGTGGCTGGGCTTTCGCCCATGGGGCCCGGCCGGGCCCAGCCCGAACCGAATACAAGGGCTCATCCAACTGTGGACCCACCACCCACAGGAGGAAAATGAAGGGTCCGGTGCAGTGTGGATCGGGTGGCAGACCGAGGCGGGAGCCTTGGCGGTCCGATCCCCGAACAAGGAACCTGGTTTTTGGGACATGGAACGTCACCTCGCTGGCGGGGAAGGAGCAGGAGCTTGTGGCAGAGGTTGAGCGGTACCGGCTAGATATAGTCAGACTCACCTTGACACATAGCATTGGCTCTGGAACCCAAGTCCTTGAGAGGGGTTGGACACTCTCCTTTGCTGGAGTTGCTCTGCATCTGTTAATACAGTTGAAAAGAATACGGAGGAAAGAAAAGAAGAGCTTGGCACAAGTAACCATGACTTACCCATCCTACAACCATCCAATCTGATTGAAGTTGCTGCTCCATCTTTCCCTAATGCTCAAAGCTCATGCAGGACAAGCCTCTTTAGATAGGAAAATCCACACGACTCAAACCCATCCAAAGAGTTGTGGCCCACTTAAATAATACTCTATTAAGAGTTCTCACTCACATTCGCAAAGAAGTAGTGGCACCAGACACGGAGCAAATGTTCCATTGCTTAAAAGTTCCCCACTGTTCCCGTCTGGTTTGACAACAGCCCTTCACCTGCTGTTGCATGCGTAAAGAAGGCAGCTCTGTGAGAACAAGGAGAACACAGCACAGAGGCTAAACTGTTTGTTCTGAAGAAGTTTTATGATGATGATGGTTTTTGTCTCATTTACTACCAATGATAAAACCATCCCAAGTCCTGAAAGAGACCAAGGAAATGTTAGCAAGCTCAAATAGACGGCTGTATAAAATAGCTTCCAACCACAATAATGTAGTGGAGGACTTCCCACCTGAAGAGCATGCTAAAGAGCTGAAAGATCAAAATCTTGGTATGGGTCCCTTACCAATGCAGAGAAGCTTAAGTCTCGTCTGGCATCTGCAAACTGACAGTTTTACCTTTCGAGAAACCCTTTTGCGACGCTGTTGGGATGTATAAACTGGTTTTCTGGTCCATCCATTCTCAGCTTCCCCACCATTCTGGTGGTTGTTTGGAGGTTCCTAGCTTCAGTTCCGGGACCCAGCTAACACGCCAAGATCTGAGACTCAGCTGGGTTGCCTCCTGAGTCCATCAGAGGCCCTGGAACCACCTCCATAATTAGAGGAAGTGGCTAGCTGCAAAACTTGGTGACCTCTGTAGACTCACTGTGGCAGAGGAGGGAGGGAGACCGCCTCCTAGGACTCTCTGGAGCCCCCTTCAGACAGGCCATGAAAAACGGAAATGTTTGGGGCTCTGTCCTTAAGACCTTTGTGTCTGAATACAAACATCCGGATAACCTTTTCCGTAATTAAACCGGACGAAGCCCCTAGTAACAGGACCGGATTTGTTACGGACAAGGTGGCTGCTTCAGACTGGTGAGGTCGAGTTCGGGACAGGGAGGAGGGGGAGGAGGAGGGGACTGGGGGACGCTCGCTCCTGTAGCATGCGGCGAACCATGGCAGCTCGCCTCCTACGGTACTGTCTGCTAGACGCATGACGGAGCGCTTCACACCGCTTCCGTGATTCCTTTATTAACCATTGAGCTTCATAATACAGGTCTCTCATGCATCTTCGTGTGCGCAGAAGAATTATGCTTAACAGTGAGAGGAATTCTATCTCTTCGTCTGCCATGTTTGACTGAATAGCTTTGTTTGGGTAAATGACGCTTGTACGCCCGCCGCACTATATTTACGCAATATCCGGGTACAGCTTTCCTACCCCCTCCCCCTCAGACATCTGGAACTTTTCCCTGCTGTGTGAAGGCAGCCGAAAGGACAAGTTCAGGTACAAAAGTGGTGTGTCTGAAAACACAGTTCTGGTTAAAAACCGGACTGGATTGTCCACACATATTCCAGAATGTCTATCTGAAACGGGCTTGGGTGAGTGAATTCCGCTCTGCCAGAATCTTAATTAGCTGGGCTGTTATAATATTCACTAACCCATTTATTCTCTCCATGGCCCTCTGCATCTTTCTGTGGGCTACCCTTCCAGTTGAATTACTTCTTTTGTAGTTCTTTGCAGCTCATCCTACAGAGGCCTGGAGTTGCTCTCTATTGCCACTGATGGTGTGAAGTGTGTGCTCACTCCTTAGCTTCTAAGCCTTCTCTGACGCTGTGCCACCTGTGATAGGGGTCCTCTATGTCCTGCAGTAGGTGTTATTCCTCCGCACGCAGCAAATTGCTTAGCTTCCTGTTGGGCTCAGCTTTAAACCTCGGAAGAGATGGGTGACCCGGAACCGCCATCATATTTTCAATATATTTGTTTATATTTTCTTAAAGAGCACATGCCTCTAAGTTACACCTGTTTGTTCTGTTAGATTTATTTATTATAGTTTTATCTAACAGTTGAGAATCATGTGTAAGGACATTTTTTTCTTGTGGCGATGCTAACGCTTTAGCCCTTCTATGGGATTTTCTATATAATACTAGCATTGAGCAAACGGCTAGATAATACATTTTATTTGTAATGCACTTTACATTTCACTGATTCTCGTGAGAAAACCTTTGTGAACGTTTCATTATATTTTTGTGGATTTACATGTAAAGTACATGAAAGTTCATTATTAATGTAAAAGTCAGATAATTACATCACAAATGTAACATCAGCTTTACAGTAAACATCTAAAAGGTTGCTGCTGATTCCTGGATGTTTATTGTGGCTAGAATCCAGCCTCGCCACCTTGTGAGGGCAGAGTAATGGTTGTTCAGAAAAGTTCAGCTGAGAATATTGCTAACTGTTGCCTCATAGTATAATTTACTAGAAACTATTTTAGTATTCAGGCTTCAATAACTAATAAATCAATGTCTTTCTTTTTACAGCCTTTAGGTGCAGCTTTACTCCTGCTCGTTTAACAAAAAGAAAAGGGCTTATTTTGTTTGTCTAACAGTTCATGAACAAGACAACCACACAAGGTTTGGAGGAAATTTAGTAAACGAGTTTATGAACTGCTGTGGCTAAATCAAATAATCCAATTCTAAGCAACTTTCCAATTAATCATTATTGACAATAATTTGTTGCAGAGTTATTTGTCCACTGACTAATTAAGGGTCTGGCTTAGGAAAATGATTCAATTGTTGGCACACTTTATATGTGCACGGCTGAGGACCTGTAAATTAATCATCTACTGTTTACTCTTGCTTGAGCATCTATAAAAATAAATCACCCAACCTGCAAGCAGACAATTTATGGCCTAAATTTGCATCCATTTCACCAACCTAAATGTGTGTGCATAAATTATATGCTGTTGGAGGGAAAAACTAACACAAAATCAAATGATTCTGAATTTAAAATAAAAAAAACAACGTTTATCTCTTTATTTACATAGGATGTTGATGAAATTGAGATCGATGTTGTAAAGACAAAAGAAGCCACTCCACTAAAACATTTTATCTGAAGCTGCATGATTTTCTGATCAACAGGACGATGACGAGCGAACATCAACAATAGTAATCAGCTTTTTACATTTTTGGTAAAAACAAATATCTGCTATTCAGAGCCCACAAAACTGATGTTTACTTTCAACACTGTGGCCCATTATCTTACTAAAAGAAGGTTTAAGCCAAATCAAACCAACGTGACTGTTGTATTAAATCTAAATTTAGAGTCAGTTCACTCTTGTGCCACAAGTACAGTTTGAATAGTGCTTCAGGCTGTAGGAGAGCCCTTCAAGGCAGTGCACACTGCTCAGCCCACTACACGACAAGAACCAGTTAATGCAAGAACACAAAAACCAGCAACAGTTCAATCAGACCATTATTTGTCTGCAGTCCTCTGATATCAAAATCAGGAACATAGAAAATTAGGGTTTCGTTTACTACCGTGGGTAAAGTCATTACAGTTCACGTCTTCTCGTAAAAGCCGTAACAAGCAAATGTAAATATGGAATTTACAAAAAAAAAAAAAAAACATCTATAAGCAACAGTCCTGTTTTCCTTTAAATGTACCATGAAGCTGAAGTGACCGCTGAAGGTAGTGAGGTGATTTTCCACAGTGTGGTTTGCCTCCTGTGCCTTATACAAGTTCTCACTCTAGTGGTCAAAATGTGAACTGCAGTGAATGGTCGCACACCAAGAGGATGAAATGTTGTTCTGTGTGTTGGTGAGGTCCGGGACTTCCAACAAGTTGAGCTGCGTGGGGAGTTTTATAGTCCGAAGCGGGCCGGGGTGCGTTTGGGAGTCATGGGGGCCTCTTCTCGTCGTCCTGGGGTGCAGATTTTCACCGCTCTGGATAACAAAAGGAGGAAAAGATAAAGTTCTAATTGCTGAAACATGCAATCGGATTAAAAACGTTGATGCATCTCCTTGTTACAAGCTAAATATGTTATTGCCTTCAAATGGAAGGCCACAGAAAGGCCAGGAGTGAAACAATGGATCAATTCTAAGTCCAGTAACCTGGCGCTTGAGAAACTAACGTATATGGCCAGAGGAAAACTCGAGGACTTCAAGGACATCTGGCTGCCCTTTTTGCATCTTCTAGACGCCTTTGACTTTGAAGAAGTGGAGTGAAGTGGGGGGTGGGAGGGAGGGGATTTTTGGGGTGGGTAAGTGTTGGGGGGGGTTGTTGTATTTTGTTTTGTTTTAAACTGAAAATCATAATAAACATATTTAGGAAGAAAAAAAAACGTTGATGCGGTTCTGGTGTGAGCTGCTGGAGGTTAACATGTAAGCAGCAGAACTGCAGTGAAAACACAGACCCGTGTCTCTAAGAGGAGAGTAGGCACAAGGACCCAACGCCTCTGACGGCACAATCTATCATCTTTAATTACGTGACAATGACACTGCCTACACTTCCCTCATCTCCCCCTCCAGCTTGCTTACACACGCGGACACACACACACACCTTGGGCAATTACACCATTAGACCTTAACCCGTTTCTCATCACTAGGAGATTATTCCTCTAGACCTGGTTTTATTTTGGGTTTAGCACCGGTTTTTATGTTTCAACCACCAAACACTGACTCCAACCATGAAAAGCTGGTACTCCAGCAGAACCAACTGTTGTGTTTTTGGCTGGAACCAAAGGAAATATTCTAATCTCTAGACCACTAGACTTCTGGTCTCTAAACACAGTAGATGTAAACAAAGTCAAGGAAACAAGTAACAAATATGAAACTGTGTTTTTGGATATTAAAATAGTGTAATTTTCCACACAAATACTGAGTTCTGGTGATTGGACCCTTTACTAACCGACAGCAGGGAGGCATATGAAACATTTCATCCTGGTTTGAAGTCAGGGACCAACCAGGAGCCCCGCTGGAGGACAAAAGGCATCCACGAGCCCAGGAGAGGCATCAACTTCATTACCACACAGCCCATCTTCCTCTGCCTGAATCTAATTCTTAATCCTAAACCTCTACTGTGATTATTTTCAACATATCTGTCACACGAAATTCAAGGCAGATAAAACAGCTGATTAATTAAGAATAAAAAATCTTTTAAAATCACTCCTTATAACCTTATTTCTCTCTGTAAAGCTGGCAGATGAGTGTGAAATTAAATTTTTGGTCTTAATTTGAAAATGAATGTTCCCCTCCTTTTTCTGTTCTACTGTGGCACAATTTAAATTGCTGCAGTAATGGGGGTCAGCCCGGAGTCAATATTATTTCTTTTTGTCTCGTCTGGAGGGACCAGAGGTGAGACAAGCTCATCATGAAGAGTGAGAAAGGTGGAATGGAGGGAAAGAGGGGAGGGAGATGGGTAGGCGCTGAGGAGGGTAAATTAAACGTTTCTAATCTTCACAGTGGAAGGAAAATGAGCGCTGAGAGGAAGCATTGCTGGACGACGCTAGTATAGTGAAACAAACGTGCCTGACACTTCCAATGTTGCTCTTCTTCTCCTGCTCTTCTCGACGCGCTCGCAGCTGCTCCTCGGCCAGAGCCATCTCGTGCTCCATGTTGTTGATCTCCTCCTTGGCCCGCCGGCGGTTCTCCTGCAGCAACAACACAAACATGAAGATAAATCCCACAATGCTCTTTGTTGGTTTGTCCAGTTCAGGAATCTTTATCCAACCTTTAGGTGGAAAAAAGTTATTTATTTCTATTAGCTTCTCTGCATGAGATCACACGCACGCACGCACGCACGCACGCACGCACGCACGCACGCACACACACACACACACACACACACACACACACACACAAAACATCAATCACTTCTTATTTATACTCAGATTTGTTACTAATTATTCCAGAAAGCACTTATTTCTTCCTTCAAATAACTGATCATTAAAAGTACATTTCTTCTGCTGAATGACAGGACACACTAACCCCAGCTTTCCACTGAATGTGTAAGCGGTGCATAACGCAGTAGATGCGTTTTTCCAGCGAGCTCAGCCATGCGCCCCTTCCCACTGGGAGTGTTTCAGACGACAGGTGGTAGCAAAAGCGTTCCACACAGTTCACAGGTGGATTTCAAGATCACGCATGATTTTGCCCATTTACATGATAATAAGCAAAGAGAAAGATGACAGCAGGTATCCAAAAGATCTGTGGATCTCAGCAACCAAGGTATCAAAGGTAGTGTTCAACCCAAGTCTTCAGGCTGCAATGATAAAGACGCCCACTAGGAGTGCTACACGAGAACCTACATGCTAGTTTCTGACCCTCATCAACATTCAGCTGTGCATGGCTGGAGGAAACCAGATCTTTTTGTTATGTGTTTGAAGCTTTACCGTTGTAATACGCTAGCCATAAGCTACCAGTAATAGATAGTGTTACAAATCAGTTTTCCGCTCCTGTAGCTGATTTCCTGCCTGTCTCAATCCAAACTGATGAACTTGATGTGTTCTGGGAGCATAGTGTGAAAAAAAAAAAAATAAACTGACCTGAAGCATGAGTTTAGCGACATGACAATACGCTTCTGCTCCACGGCCAGTGGAAACCTACCAATTGACTATAAAAGTAATCGCTGCATTCTACAGTTCGTGGACTTCACTAAATGAATACGTATTTGATGAAAGTTGGGGTCAGGCATCGTGTTGCATTCTTCAATGAAAGCAACACCTACAACCGCTAGAGGAGTTCTAGGAGCTTTGTGAATTCAACCTCGGATGAGATGCGAAACGTCTTCAAGAAAAAAAAGTCCAGTTGCCTTTGTTTGAACCCTTTTGGATTACATGACCTGGATGACTGAGAACCTTCACCAGCAGATTGATAAATTAGAAACTTGACCAGTTTCATATTCAACAACACCCTGCAGCCCTCTGCTGACCAAACGTGATAGTTTTGTGGAGCAGGTAGGTGCTAGGGGCTGCATGGCTTATTTTTTTTAAGTCGACAGTCAAGTAATGAAAATCTAGTCGACTTTGACTAGTCGTTGATGAAGTCATACACCTGAAGCGGCTAAAACTGACGATGGGTGACCAGGCGTTTTTTTCCCGACGCGTGTGTGTGTGTGTGTGTGTGTGTGTGTGTGTGTGTGGGGGGGGGGGGGGGTCGCTAGAGTTTTTGACAATTAAAATTGCACCCAAATTTTCAAAGTTAAACACATCTCTTTTAACAACGGTAGTTTCTGCATCTTTACTGTTCCCCTGCTTCAGCGTTCTCCCCTCTCCCCCTGCGCAGCGGCTGCAAACTCACTGATGCGCCTGCAGCCTCTCAGAGTTGCTGCTCTAAACATTAAATAATTGTTTAATTTTCTGTTCCTCACTTCTGATTACCTTCAATGGTGTCTGTTTGTTGCAACCACCAGGTACAAAAACTAACTTGTTTTTATTTGACTATTTTTCTGTCCTGTCTCTGTTTATTATCTTTCTGCATCTCCTCTAAATCCTAAAGAAAAACTGCTACCTGGGTTCATATATATTCACCTCATGAGTTACCGTTGAACTGCAGTTCTAAAAGATCTACCGACCGCAAAAACAGCGGAGTGCGTGCTGTGTGCCGGCTGCACCGATGAGGTGAAATCACCGGAGGACAAAACAGGTGATGCGCTCCGCTCCACAGCAGCGAAACGCATCAGGCACAAATAAAAGACAGAAAACATAAAAGGAAATGAGCCGACATGAACGACAATTTAACGGGACGCGTGCCCTATTTGTCTAACTGTGGCGCTAGCTTAGCTCCCCGGCCAGGCCTAGCGTTCTTTGTCTGTAGCGACCAGACTGAAATTTCCCCGATTAACAAGTAGGCATCTCGCTCCACTTTTAATACGGACTTTAAAAAAAACGTACGCAATCTGAATGCAGTAACGCGTAACGGCTGTGCCTCGCTTTACGACGTTTACCGAGCAGTCAAGCTCCGGCAGGTGTCACCGAGCATTCCGTTTAAAAAACGCACGCAATCTGAATGCAGTAACGCGTGACGGCCATAACCCGGCTTACGACGTTTACCGTGCAATCAAGCAACAGTAGGTGCCTACGGGCATTCCGTTTAGATTCGGCTTCTATAAGTCGCTCATGCAATGGAGATATTTTCCACAATAGCTCGCCCACAGTGTCAACACACTGAGACGAAAGGTGTCCGAGAATTTAGTCTCGGTTCTGAGGTCGGAGAATTTAGTGAGCGGAACAATTTCCGGTTAAGTTCAAAATAAGACATCAAAGTGAAACACAGAGAAAAGCGTTGTTTGTAGCTTTTAGATGTAAGAAATCAGACATATCGCAGATATAGAAGACTGGATACGCTCGCCATTAAATGTAGCGTTATGGATTTATGCTCTTTTATGAAAGAGGAACCATGCTACGTATTAATTCGGAATATTAATTTTAATAAATCAATAACCAAATTTTATATTGTTCAGAAGACTCAAAGGTTGTTTTCATCCATAAACTGCCGATAATATCTGAGTGTCTGTGTTTCAGTTCAATGAGGAAACCAGTTTGACGTTTAAAAGTTTTAATTCTTCAAATTAAACTAATGATTTTGAAATTGACAAACAGGAAATACAATCAACATTGATAACTTTGTGGGACAATCTTTTTAACAGTTGATATGCTGTTAATGCTCAAATAGACCTTCTGTAGGTGAATGAAGATTGAGAGTGATATGATGTGATTATGGATGCGTGTGGGTGCCAAGTGTAGTGAGAATTGAACATAAGATGAGATGAATGCATGTGTGCATCTGATTTTGCTTCAGGAAGAAACAGGTGTCTGAGTGAAGTGATGGTTTGAATAAACTTAGGCTTTTAGTTGGAAAAGATGCATCAAAACGCTATCTGTCGTGTTTTGCCTCACCGAAAATCGGACCCTCTGTTGGACCCGGGACGTCACCTTAGGATGTTTCATCCAGGGCACCTTGGCTGGCAAAGAAGACAAAGATGCGCTGCGAACCGGTCCAGAGTTGTCCCTCGGTACACGTTGATGGTAAAGCGTTTTGTCGACGCGCTTTCTTAAGTTAATTCACTCAGAAATCAAAAGACTCGGTAATGAGTCTGCGTTAGAAGTTGCGGTTCAGCTATTCTGCCTGGCGTGGCAGAAACAGCGCGAGAGAAGGGGGGAAGAACGAGCCAACAGGCTCTGCCCCCCCTTTGGTTTTCAGGTCTGTTCTCTCTCGTTGTCCAACACGAACTGCATCAAAAGACTGAAACTTACCAAAAACCTTTCTCTTCTCAAAGCAAACGTGCGTCATCAAATGTGTCTGGAGTTTACTGTGAGCAGGTGTGTGTGGATGTGTGTGAATGTTTGTGCTTGAGTGTGTGTGAAGGTCAGTAACAAACATTCTCAACATTATTTAAGAATGGATTCATTAAACCATTATAATTACCCCAAAGCATAAGTCATTCATTTGATTAAACACATTTATAATGAGCAAAATGATAATGGTTATTTTAACATTAAAATCAAGAAAAAGAAGTTTAAACTTTATGTTTTGACTTGGTCTGGGTACAACTCATGTAAACACATCTTCTGGTAGACTGCAGGTGGCAGATGTTATGGTTTCCTCCCAGACTCGCTGGCGTTCAGGTCTTAATCTGTGGGTGAAAGTTCTCAGCGACCCAGCTTTGACACAGCTGAGTCCAACACCACCATTGTGACAGAAAACCCATATTTCCTCACGTTACAGTGTGTTAAATTAGTTTTTGAGGTGGCGACACCTGATTTGATAATGTTACTGTGGCCGTGCTCAGGACGCAGATGTCTGGAGTGCGTCAACGATCAGAGCTTTGCATGTGCAAGCTGGTTAACCCTCTGGGGTCCAGGGTCTAATTTGCCGTTTTTGACTAATTTAGAGTTTTCCTTTGTATTTCCAAAATAGAAACCATAACCTTATGTGGTATCAATCTTTTCAGCACAACCTGGACTTTATGAATTTACACATATTTTTTATATTTGGACATAAAGGGGTTGCATATTAGACCTTAAATCACTCAAAACCATAATCACTGACATAATCACTCCTCTTGTTGGATCTCCGAGAAGCTGGATCTCTGCCTTCATCCTCTACCTCATCATGACCCAACTCTTCTATGAGGAAGGATGGATCTGCCACATTATCATCAACATCCTCGCTATTTGCCTCAGACTCCGGCTGTGAGTCTCCGTCCACTTCCTCTGCTTCCAGGTCAAAAAACAGCCGTACTATCTGAACTGCCTGGTGGACATTTATCCTTCTCATCATCCTTTATATAAGCCTAATAAAAGCCTACTAAACTGCAGAGACAATATATCTGTCCAGATCGCTCCAAAATATGAGGTTTACCGTCAATATCTGTCTAATTGTTTGTTGTTACTCCGTTCGCGCCATTCCTTTCCCCGCGAAGCGGCTCCTTTTTGCGCACATCTCGTTACTCGTGCAGCCTTCCTCTCTCTCTCAGCTACATAATGATACTTTTTATCAATTTAATATGTGAGACTTCCACCAACAGCAAAAGGATCTCATGTTTTTGTGGGTTTTTTATGTTCACAAGCACATTCCCTCTCACGGATTACTAAACCGCTGTTTTGACAAGTTGTCAGATTGTCTAAAAATAGGTCGTTTTTTAGTGTAGTATAACTCCACTTTTACGTTGCCTATTAACAAAATTTAAAAACTGGGGTGTAGTTTATAATCTCCTTTTTAAAGAGGAATTGAAATCAAAACTCAGGAAGGCGGAGTCTTCCTGCTACAGTGTCCCAAATCAGACCTGTTCAAAAGACGCGGATACACGTCCATGGACCCCAGAGGGTTAAGGTTAGGATGGGGGTGAGGGGAACGTTAAATTGCAAGAGGGTAAAGGTCACAATTCGGTCAAATGTCTGTTTTACCGCGGGCGTCAGATACCAACGCTCTGGCGACGCGCAGGGGCTCGTCACCTGCTGTCTTTTCCGAGGACTGCATCTTGTCGGTCACTATCACGTGACAGCGACTAGTCGATGACAGGCATAAAAAGTCACTACAGAGCAGTGAAGTTGACTAGTCGACTAGTTGATACAACCCCTAGTAGGTGCCCTATAGGGGGTGCACTTTACCTGCTTTACAACCGTTAGCTGTAATACAGCAGTTAGCATTTTCTGTATGCCAATCGTCAACAAAAAAGACATGAAGAAGAAACAGAAGTTGTTTGCTATTTCTGTTAGCATCATGGTGGAGCCTGGAAAGTAAGTGAGCAATGTCTTTGGAGGCAAAGCAAAGAGCTAAAACTAGAGTGAACATCGGCGTGGCATGCGCTAGTTTGATGAAGCTATAGGAAGCTACAAAATCACGAACTGATGGTGATCTGGATTTGTTGCTAATGGACTTGTAAATAATATTTTTCGTCCAACAATGTGGATCTTTTGACTTCATGGTTTACTTTAGTATTAGCTGGCTTATGACAGTGTTTGCTCATTGTTAGCGCTAGCAGCAGCACTCACTGTACCGCTCTTCCCTTCTCAGGCCTAGTCCACACGTAGCCGGGTTTTTTAAAAACGAATATCCGCCCCTCCAAAAAATTGCATCCACACCACCGCGTTTTGAAAAAAAACTCTGTCCACACGTACCCGGATAAATACTTTGTTAAGGACATGCCAGACCTGTAGGCGGCAGTACTTCCCCCGTTCTTAACCTCGTCCTTCGTCTGTGGTCTTCCGCAAGGAGCAGTAATTCCGCTTGAAAAAACAAACAAGCAAAAAGCGCTTTGACAATTGATGGATCGGGTAGTGACAGAGCGCAGCTCTGAGGGCTTCCATGATGCCGGCTAGTGTAAACACAGGTCGCACACGTGATGTCAGCATTTTTTGTTGCGGAAAGTGACGTTGCAGACCTTAAAACTCCGGTTTTGTCTGTCCACACGCAGACACCCAAAACGGAGAAAACGCAGATCTTCACTTTGGCCAGAGTTTTTAAAAAGATCCGTTTTCGTGTGAAAAAACTCTGTTTTCGTGTGGATGACAGGCCAAAACGTAGGAAAATATCTACGTTTTGGCAGATCCCCGGCTACGTGTGGACAGGGCCTCAGTGAGACTACCGCCATTGTTTTAAGTTGTTAGTTAAAGCCTATTTTTATGACCTGACTTTTCCTCACTCATACATTTTTATTGTTGCCATGTATTTTTATTACAACTGTGTTCTGCTTTTGCTACGTGTTTTTACTGTTGGCTGTGCTTTCTGTTTTATTTATTGTGTTTTAATTTTTTATCTGCACAGTACTTAGGTCGGCTGCCATGCCGTTTTTAAATGTGCTTAAGAAATAAACTTGGTCTGGTCTGGTCCAGCAGGCTGCTGCAGGGTTGTTTACAACAGTTGTAATTCCACTTTTAACCAGTAGGGCTTTCTCGGGGTCTTGTTCACGACTGAGGGTAGGAGGGATCGGGAGATCGACAGGCGGATTGGTTCGGCGTCTGCAGTGATGCGGACGGTGAGCCGATCTGTTGTGGTGAAGAGGGAGCTGAGCCAGAAAGCCAGGCTCTCGATTTACCGGTCGATCTACTTCCCAATCCTCACCTATGGTCATGAGCTTTGGGTAATGACCGAAAGAACGAGATCGCGGATACAAGCGGCCGAAATGAGTTGCCTCCGTAGGGTGGCCGGGCTCAGCCTTAGAGATAGGGTGAGGAGCTTGGACATTCGGGAGAGACTCGGAGTAGAACCGCTGCTCCTCCGGATCGAAAGGAGCCAGTTGAGGTGGTTTGGGCATCTGGTCAGGATGCCTCCTGGACGCCTCCCCGGGGAGGTGTTTCGGGCACGTCCTGCCGGCAGGAGGCCCCCGGGTCGACCCAGGACATGTTGGAGAGGTTACATCTCCAATCTGGTCCGGGAACGCCTTGGGGTCCTGCCGGAGGAGCTGGTGGAGGTGGCCGGTCTGGAGCTCCCTAGTTGGGATGCTGCCCCCGCAACCCGGACCCGGATAAGCGAAGGAAGACGACGAAAACGATGACCAGTAGGGCTGAGAAGCAGGGAAACTGCTCTGTGTTACTTTAAAATGAACATTTAGCCATTTTTGAGTCAACTAAAGATGATGAGCAGTTATGGATTATCTCTTAAACTAACTTGGTGTGTTTCAATCTCATTCAAATCAATCCACTGGTTCAAGAAATCTATCGACAGAAAAACAAATAAACAGGATTTGACCAAAACATTATTGTGCACATTATTTATATTATGAGGGAACCAAATTGACCAAGTCAGCATGTTTTTTTTTACCTGTCTGCTTTTTCCTGCATGTTTGATGCTATAAAACATGGGCCCAAGTTCTGCCAGCCACTCCCCATCAACAGCTGTGACACACTGCATGTACTCCTACAAAAACACACACATTAACATCAAGAACAACCCTGTTGAGTAAACGCTTTAACCTCAATTTTTTGCATCTTTACCTTTGTAGTCATGACGAGCTCGTGGTAAATGATGTAGTCAGGTGTGTAGCCCATACCAAACAAGGAGCTGGTAGGATGTAGGTGACACGGCATGCCTGTCCTCACGTTCACATACTCACCAATGCCCTGGTAACATGCATAAATAACAAATTCAATTCCAGCTCAAAATTACGGGGCCTGAAGTTTAAATATGTGTTTGTGTGCTTCTGCAGGGGCATTCAAAGGTCAAAACAAAGCAGGCCATGAGGGCTAATTTGCTGCTCAACCTGGCTTAGACAGCAGAAAATGCATCTGCAGTATATCCAACATTACTATGATTGCTTAGGCTGGCTGACTACTCATAAGTCAAACTGGGAACCTTTATTATACAGTCATGATTTCAAATTCCCTTTCAGATTTTAGCGGCGTATTAATGTGAGGCCAGAGGGGATATTTCACCACTCTGTAATTATGCTGCTATAAATCTGCCTCTGTGCCTAACATATAAACCGAGGAAAACCCAGAGAGATGATTGCACCTTGAGCTTGGCCGCCTGGTGGAAGTAAGCAGCACAGATGCACTTTCTGATGATGTCCCAGTCTGAGCCACAGGAAACCAGGTTCATCTTCTGCTGCACCATGATGTCCTTTAACTGGGAGCGCACCTCACGCACCTTCATGGAAAATTACAAAAAGAAACTAACAAACATGGACTACATCATCCATCATCTCTTAAAATAATTAGGAGCTTTTTACGTTACTTATTTCCTTTTACAGGGTATCTGCAGGTTTAAGGGAGCCACATTTAAGACTTTTTAAGACCTTATTTAAGGCCACTTTCACCAAATTTAAGCTATTTTTTTTAATTAAATTTAAGCTATAATTTCCAGCTATTGCCTGGAACTGGTGCTAACCACGTCGTGAACGTGGGATTAACCATCCAGTTACCATTAATGTTGCACTTCCCCATGGCGCAAACTCCCACTAGCATGCTCATCTAACAATAGCCCCCTTTCACAACCAACCGAATGTGTACGGTTCCACTTACGCCAATATCGTACACAAAAAATGCTGAACTAACTAGAAATTCATGAAAATTTTATAGAAATAAAAGAATCTTGTTTATTGGGTCTTTGGTAATTTAAGACCTTTGGAAACTATTTAAGGATTATTTGTCATTTTTAAGGATTTTTAAGGCCTTAAATTTGGAAAAGCAAATTTAAGACTTTTTAAGACTTTTTAAGGACCCGTGGACACCCTGTTTTAAATTCTATAATGTACGGTTTGTCAAGTTTTACAAACTGAAAATAAGATGCCAGCGCGGCCCTCAGGAGCCTGACCTTGCGCATGGCCTTGGTGTGGATGAAGTGGTCGTTGCACCAGATGCTGGAGTAATTGTTGTTCTTCCACTGCATGTACACATTCAGGTAAGTCAGGTGGTCGCTCTCTGGGACCGAGAACTTCTCCCTCACTTGGTCGCTCTCCTCTTCTCGACCCTGAGACAAGTACACACTTTAGTCAAAAGTGTTAATATATTAAAATACTTTCATCTTATCCAAAGTTGCTAGATGCCCTTTGTTTAATGGGTTCACAATTTATTTCCTGTTTTTGGTCTAAATTATCTTTAACTTTAAACAATGCAACGGCGATGGAATAAAGGGATTACTGAAGTGATTACAAAACAACAAAAAAAGCTTACAACCACCTTTCTTTACACATTTTCTATCCATCTATAGAATATTCAACTTTTCTGTCCATTCTGTTTTTGCACCAACAGTTTTCCTGCTCCTACAAAAGGCTGGTGGCAGGAAATGGGCAACATTTTGATCAAAACAATAGTTTTTTTTTTGTCCAGGTGCATGAACACACTATTGCTAAGCGCTAATTCATGCTAGCAATAAGATGATCGTTATAATCAGAACGTAAATAACAGTAGGCGAGACCTGGACAGGGATCAGTAAATCCCTACAGCTGTGTGTTAAGATTAATCACATTTAAAGGTGTGGTTCACTCGTTTAATGAATACATTTGCAGTGGTCTCTAGTAGCAATGAATGCCTTAGTGTGTGTACTCTGGGGTAAAAGAGCTCTGGTGTGCTGGTTTCAGGAACCAGAGGTGAGCCACATCAGTGTTAGAGCTGAACACGGCAGGATTTGGACATCTCACCTCTGACTGGACAACAGCAAACGCGACTCTACCAATGAGTCCATTTGCTCTGCAACATTGATATTTTATAAATTTATAAGGAGTTCTGCTATGTGGTGGAGTTGTTAATGCTAACAGTTAACTTCTACTAGCCAAGACACTCTCTGCTTGTGTCAGCCTTTCCCGTTGGGAGTCGAGATGGGTGAGTCCATGAATGTTAGGTGACAGAGTGATGTAGATCTGTCAGTCTTTTCTTATCCTAGAGTTTAACCGTCTATTTTCTATCAGAAGCTAATGCAGGAGATAGGTGTAGGAGACTTTTCTCATCTTCAACCTGTGTGAAAAACTCTGAGTGACTGATTATAATTAGAAATAATCATTAAACATTGTTTTTTTTTTGTGAACCACGCCTTTAAACTTCTCCCATTCCGTTTTTTATCTTTATTCTTGTTGTTTCTACTACTACGCATTCATTTTTATTTTCAGAATTTTCATCTTTTTGATTATTTAATTAGAAATGCTATTTTGGTGTTCTAACAAAGTCATTTCTCCTCAGGCTTAACAGAAATCTACCAACCTAGCCACCCACCCACTCTCTCTGTTCCCACCTAACTGAGGAGTGACTTAAAAAAGCACAAACACCTTAGGTCTGTAGAAGATGGCTGGCACAGAAAGCATGGAGACGATGATGAGGATGTCCGCGCTGCAGCCCATGTCACACGACACGATGAGCATCTTAGAGAGGGCGGGATCGAGGGGGAACTCCACCATCAGACGCCCTGTCGGTGTCAAAGCACCTGGGTGGACAAAGAAACACAGTTACAAGGTCACACGTGTGAAAAAAAACACATGAAGAGCATCGAGACATCTTCTCCGTCAAAGCTCGCCAACTCTGCATGGCACTTGTTTATCTATCAAAGCCAGAGGAGGATGAAAAGCTGACAGCTGAGAAAAAAAAAGAGCGAGATCAAAAAAATAACTTTCTGATTTAAATGATTAGAGGAAATAGTCTAAGAAGCTTATGATGAGGAAAAGCAGCCAGTTACGGGCAGGTAAGCTTTAATCAGTGATAATCTGCTGTTAACACACCATGCAGAGAATTGTCAAAAGTGCCCCCTTCCCTCCCCTAACCTTATCCCCAAATCCGTAAATCCTCTGGAATCTGGCTAAGAATGAGATAGAAATGAGACCCGGCCAGTCAAACCAAACACAGGATCAGTTTCTAGGCAAGGATTCCAGCCTGGAAGTCTGAGCGACCTCCTGCTGGCCTGTTTGCATCATCAGTGCAGCATCCTTTCCAGAGGCTGTATTTGTAGTCTGTAGGAGCTCAAAGCATCACTCAGGGAGAAAGGTACTCCTGATATAAAGAATATTCTTTTAGAGCTGAGGAAAATAATCACATAATCGATGCATCGAGATGCGGACTTAAACGATTATGTACGCCATAATCGATTATAGTGGAATGTAGTTTTGTTTTTTTAACGGCGGCACCAGCGCAGCATCCAAATCTGTCAGAGTGAGCGTCCTCCACATTTACCAAGTGGTTCCCCCATAATGTGGTACTGCAGGGCTGAGCGCTAGAGTTGTAACCTGAGACCGAACCGGAACCGAATCAGCCAGACCGGTTCTGTTGGATTTGGGCCGTGAATTATGTTAACTGAGTGGGTTGTCACGTGGCCCGCTCCGCTCGCTCGCACAGCAACTGAGAGAGGGAGGGAGGGAGGGAGATAGAGATAGAGAGAGAGAGAGAGAGAGGAGAGAGAGAGAGAGAGAGAGAGAGAGAGAGAGAGAGAGACTGTCTGCTCACACAAGAGAGAGGATCGGAGGACGCTCCTCCAAACCGATGCTCCAAACACGCGTTATTATTTTCATAATTTAATTATTATTTCTCCTTGAAGCGCTCAGTCAGACCAAGTGTTGTGATGCTGGGAGGTCCGGTCTTGGGGAGGGGGCGGGGTCAGTGACTGTGGCTGCAGCGTCTGTCTCTTTTATTAAGGGACACGGAAAAGTTAAAAGGAGAGAGAAATAGAAGATAGAAGTTCTTGTTCAACTTTATTCTTTTGTTTCATGATGATAAACTGATGTTGAATTCAGCTTAAAGAGAAGCTGGGAGGAAGCTTTGGTTCATTTTAAGTTACAGGAGATCTTGTCTCCTATCTGCTCCTCCAGAGACAGCATGGACATGAAGGTTACATGGTGAGGGTCCCACAGGACAGGTTAGTGGAAAGGTTTGTAGTTAGCTGGTTAGTGAAGGAGATCCATCATCTGGGTAATTTAATCCTAATCCAGCCCACAGCCTTCTGATGGTGTTATTATCAGGAAGAATAAAACACACATTTTAAATATTATTGGAAGTGTAGAATTAGTTTTATGTTTTATTATTTTCTGCATCAAACAGAACTTGATTCATTCTCCAACATTTCAGAAACGAACCACTGGGTTCAAATAAAATAACAAACTAAGTCAAACATTTCATTTGGTGTTATTTCTGACAGCCTTCAACTGTGGCATACATATTTGACTCTGGAGCTGCTCAGAGACATTAAACATTCATATATGAACCCATTATGTATTTTATTATTACATTATGTGTCCTGTAGGTTTTCAGTACCTTTTTTAGATTTTGTGAGTTTTTGCAAAGCGTGTTTTTCTCAGCCTGAGGCGTGGTGTTGAACGAGGAAACAGATTGTTTTACTTTGTTAAATCTTAAATGTTTAAAATGTTTTGTCCTAACCTGTTGTGAATGGAGAGCTTTTGAGGGATGGCAAGTTGTGTCAATTACGTTTTTGATTAAAAATGAATAAATAAATAAATAAATAAATAAATAAATAAAAAGCAATTATCTGGCATCTTCTATTTATCAATGAAAACAAATCAATGTGAAATAATGGTGATGCATCGTGATATTGAATCAAATTGAATCGTTGACCCAATAATCGTAATCGAATTGGGAGACAAGTGAAGATTCACACCTCTATATTCTTTACTTTAGAGTTGGAATTCCATCATTCAGTCAGATTTTGTACAATAATCTAAGGTTCTTTACAAGAAACGGTTTTATGCATGCTGGCTCTCAAAATCCTGAATAGTTTCTCTGCAGCCTTATGTCACCGTACCGATCTACAACCAGGTATGGCTACACGAGTGAGGATTGCTAGGAAATCTGCAAATTAGAGTATAATTATTTATAGAATTTTTAGAGTTTTTCTTTATAAATATTAGAGTCCTTTTGTGTTTCTTTCATTATGAAACCTTTCAGCATTAGCATGGCTGTAGCCAGAAGGTCTAACACATGAAGCAAACTAGTGAAGTGCAGCAGCTAGAAGCTGACCCCAAAACGTCACTCAGTCCAGCAGACTCTAATTCTCAAAGTGTCAAGGTCTTCCATAAAATCTCTTTTTCCCCTCATGGACCATCATAGTGGATTCATTCTTTCTAATCTACAAACTGATTGTCACTTTGTCAAATTGTCAATTTAATACAGCAATCAAAGGAAAACGAGGTCCTGGATGAGGAATATTTTCATGTAAAAAGGTTTCAGGTGTGATTTTCTAGCTCCACATCCCTTCAGACTCCAACGTGACAGAGATAATTCTGAGTAAAGAATCAGATTTAATAAGAATAAGAAATAAAAATGAATGATTATTAAAAAAGGAAACAGCTTTAAAGGCTTCTTTAAGGCACAACAGCACCTGAACGGAGTGAATAAACAGTCAGATGATTAAAATGATTGCAGGTTGGCTCACCTGTGTTGTCCAGAGCTCCGAGGATCCAGAGCTGATACATGGAGTTCAGCATGTTGTCCTCAGGCGGTGGGTCCATGAAATGGAAAAGGAGCAAGTCCTGAACACCCAGAGACTTCAGCAGCAGAACCACGTTGGCCAGGTTGGTCCTCTGGATCTCAGGTATGGTGGTGGTCAGCATCTCGTTCTTGTAGGCACTCTGAGTGTAAAGTCTTAAAGAAAGTGACAAAGGTATGGTTAAAAAGCCAAACGTGGGAAATTTACAAACGGTAAAATAAACTAATTAAAAAGTTTTGTTGAACTCTTTCTATTTTTCTGAACCCGTTCAAGCAATTAAAAATGTATTTTCTGTTGTAACATTCACAGATTTTCTAATTATCCCTCCCACTGTCTTTATGGGTGACCCTGAGGCCCGCTCACTCCTCACCCCTGCCACGTGTACCTCAAGGGATAGACCATCAGTCCCGCTCAAGGGTCAACCTTCCTCGCGGGGTCACCCATTAGGACAGTGGGAGGGTTAACAAATACCAAAAAAAAGAGGAAGCTGCAATTTCCCTGCAAAGTCTGAGTCCGAACACAGAAGCTCATTTATCAATAAGTAATGTAACTTAATAAAGGTGTTTGTAATTACTGAACTCACACCTCAGGTAACTTTACCTGTAACACTGTCCCGGCCCAGTACGACCAGCTCGGCCGGATCGCTGGTTGGCGTTTGCCTGACTGATGGGGTAAACCTGGAGAGCATCCATACCGATGCGAGGATTGAAAACCTGTTGACAGGAAATAAAGAAGTCATTCACAAACAGGATCTCAGTCACAACACGGCATGAAAAACATAAAAATGACACGTGAGCCTGCCGTACCTTAAGTTTACAATATCCTGCATCCACCACAAACATAATTCCATCCACGGTGAGGGACGTCTCAGCGATGTTTGTAGCTACGATGCATTTCCTCACGCCATCTGGAGCCTTGAAGAAGATAAAAACAACATCTGTGAGCTGGATGTTAACACCAAAAAGGGAATAAAACTATGTTAGTATGATTTAACGTTTAGGGGATGATATAAAAAAAAAACCTTCTGGAAGATCTTTGCTTGGAGGTCAGATGGAAGCTGTGAGTAAATGGGCAGCACAGCCAGGGCAGGAGCATTTTCTAAATCTTCCAGGCGCTCCACAATCTGATCTGACGTCACCTGATGGAAAAAAAGATCAAATATTAGCAAAATAAAGTTAGGAAATTTTATTGCAACATGTTAAACACGACATACGGTGCCCAAGAAAAGACAAGTACATTTTAAAGAAAAATGCTTGAGCAGAACTCTCTTTTTTAATGAAGCATTAAGAGGGATTTCAGCAGCCATGTCCATCACCTCAATGTCCTCCTGTCCAGGCATGAAGATGAGGATGTCTCCCGCCATCCCACTGAGGTGGATTTGGAGAGCCTGCTTCACAGCAGCTTCCACGTAGTCCTCCTGCGGCGTCTACACATCCATCAAACACGTCAACAAAAAAGGGATCCAAGAAAATGCAATTATGAGCAGATTAAATGTATGATTTTCACTAAATCAAAGCAGCCTTGAGGTGAAACTACATTAAATGCATGACATTCGTTTACCTTGCTGAACAATATGTCCACAGGGAATGTTCTTCCTGGAATGTGGAATATGGGTACATTGCCAAAGAACGCAGCAAATTTGTCTGAGTCCATAGTGGCAGAGGTGACGATGAGCTTCAAATCGGTGCGGCGAGATACAACCTGGAAGGATACGTAAACAGGAATCAAGCCTCTGTGTCTTATTATGGAACAAAATGTAAATAAATGTGTACTTTACACTTGGTAGTTTTACTGACCTCACGGAGCAGCCCGAACAGCACGTCTGTGTTGAGAGAGCGCTCGTGAGCCTCGTCCATGATCACAGCGCTGTAATGGTCCAGGTCGGACTCTCGCAGGGACTCCCTGAGCAGGATTCCATCCGTCATGTACTTTATCAGCGTTTTCTCAGATGTGCAGTCCTCAAAACGAATTGCATATCCAACCTGAGAAAAAAAGAATATTCAAGTTATAAACATCATAAATATGATCAAAATATATTGTGTACATATTTAAAAATCATCTTGTGATGCATAAAAATACTCAGCATAAAGTTGGAAAATTATTACATTTTTCTGAGTTAAGCCCTTGTGTTAATTCACGTGCTTTTATGCACACTTTACCTCTAACAGGTTTTAGTTTAGTTCTCTTTTTCTTTCTTTCCATTTTAAAGTCCTAAGTTATGAGGTAGCTGTGGCCAATCGGTGGGCTTCCTGTTTAATTCTACATGAAACCCTCGAGGATTCCCTGAAAAATAAATAGTTTATCTCAGTAAGACTTTCCTGAATAAACAAATAAAAAAGAAAGAAACAGAAATCTACTGAATTTAGATCAAGAAGCTATGTTTCTAATCTCCACTAGATGGCAGTGTTGGACAGCACAAAAAACGAGACTCCACTTCAGACATAAATATCATTAGAAAACATTATACCAGAGCATTAAAGCCAGTTAATTTAACACAATCCACATATTTACATAAGTTCTTTATAAAAGTTACACTATTATTCATCAAAAAATTATACCTCTCAGTGGCCTAGTGGTATGAGTGTCCACCCTGGGAAACTGGGATAGAGGTTCAAATCCCAGTCGGGTCATACCAAAGACTTTAAGACGGGACCCAATACCTCCCTGCTTGACATTCAGCTTTAAGGGTTTGAATCACCAAATAGTTCCCGAGCGCAGCCACTGCTGCAGCTCACCGCTCCCCACGGGGACGGTCAAATGTGGAGATGTAATTTCAGCAGTGTGTGATGATGGCCAGTGGAACTTTACCTTTAAGTGTTGATGCCCAATAACTGTTCTGCTAATTACTTATAATAAACAATTAAAACAGGTTAAAGTAGGTTTGTGTGTGAACTTCTTTGGACAACCAAAGAATTGAAGTTGTATTGAGGTTCTTTTTAAAATGTTTTTTCTAATTTTTATTCACCCTGTGTCTTATTGATTTTTAGCTGTTATTTTTGGTATTTTTGTTGTATTTCCTTTTTATCTTTTATCTGTGTTCGACATGTTTGTATAACGCTGGTTTAATTAATCTAACATTTTTAGTGTACGGCACCTTGTTTGGTTGTAATGCCTTGTGAATGCGCTTTATAAATAAAATTGGATTGGATTGGAACCAGTGAAGATGTGAGTGCAGGACATGATCAATGAAGTTTTATGGAAAACAAAACCCCTCAATATTACTAAGCAGACATTTACGTGAAAGATGTAGAGTTGATTTGATTCATGTTTGTTTTAGTCATTTTTTAAACCCATTTTTGATTTTCTAATAACTTCTATGGGAGATAATGTTGAACAAAAGAGAGCAGGGGGGTTCTGTTTGCTGCAACAGTCTGATCAGCTGAAGCACCCAAACGTCTCACCTCCTCTCCGAGGTTGGTACCGATCTCCTCGCTGACTCTCTTGGCCACGCTCATGGCTGCCACTCTTCGAGGCTGAGTACAGCCCACCATGCCGTAGCGAGTGTAACCATCTTCATGCAGATACTGTGTCAGCTGGGTTGTCTTCCCGCTACCCGTCTCCCCAACAACGATAACGATGCTGTTGTCCCTGCAGGTTACAGTAGAGAAAACCCTACGTGTCACAGTTCTGACATGGTAAACGAGGAGGATGGAGCCATAAACACAGATTTGTGTGAACACCTTATGATATTGAGAAGTTGCTGTCTCACAGCAAAGATAGGCAGGTACTGTCTCTGCTCCAGAATACTTTTCTTCTTGGCAAAATCGCTGCTCGCCTCACTTTTCTCCTTCATGTGCTCCGCAAATTTTTGATCCGCTCTGTGGGACATTCAAAGACATTAAACACAGAAGTTAAGAACATCAAATACCTCCTTCAAATTAAATAATTGTAGTTCTTCTTCCGGCTCTTGGAGAGTACAGGCACTTTTTTCTCCTCTCCCTCCCTCCTCCTCCCAAGGCTCTCTGTCCTATCTGCCTGAGCACGACGCTTTCTGCATTTTTTCTGGAAACTGGAAATTATTAAAAATGGATCTGGTCAGTTGGTCTCTCAACGCGATTGACAAAAATTTTTCTACGATGAGAACGGGAGAAGGGGCTCCCGGATGCCCCTCTGGGACAGAGCCAGCTGGGTATATCATGGACTCCTGGAAACAGGGGAACCTGATATGCCTCTCTCAACTGTCTGTAGAGGATTCTGAAGATGTCTGGATATTCGTTGTTTTGGTGTCGGGTTTCCTGCTGTTTGGCCTGAGCGGTTACCTGGCATACCAGAAAATTAACGAGCTTTCGAGGAATATTGGCTCAATCCCAGAGCTCAGGGATGGAATGCATCGCGCTGTGAACACACAAACTCATTTAATTGTTGAGATGAGTCGTCAGCTTGGACCTTTGGCTGAGATTTAGGCTCTGGCACAGAAGGTGGATTCCATCAAGGAGAGACTTGACAGATCAGCACGGATTGGGATAGATTCATTACATCATTATTGGATCTAGAGGGGCTGAAGACCAACAGAACTCTAAGGCAGAGAGGAAATTATCTCTGTCTGTCCCCAAAACAATTCTTATCTGAATCTGGTGCCCTTGAAGCCTGTGAGGCTGACGTGTAAACTCCCCTCAGAATAAATGTGGAATGCTGCCGTCGCCATGGCAACTCTTTCTCCCTATCCCAGCCTGGGCGGGACTGCGACAGGTGAAGGCCGTGGAACCGTATCTAGCAGTCAATGTGCCCTCTAACTTATTATCTCCCTCCCCTGTACAAACGGAGGTGATGAGCGCTGCTTCATGCGGCTGCACGCACTGAAGTGAGGAGAGTCCCAACCCTACCTCCCCACCTAGTGGACACTTATGCTGTGTAATGTCTGAAATCTGTGTGCATATCTGTCTGAGGTGATTTTTTGCATATCAAAGCTGCCCTCCCTGTGGAGGGTAACTCTGAAGTGCCTTTTTTTCCCTCCCCCTGACTCTATGGTCATATAAACCCTCTTGATCTATTACGGTAGCGCGACTCGGGTTGCGAATGACCACAGTCACCAGTTCTTGTCATGTGTCTATGTATGTTTGTCTGATCTCAGAATTGTGTGTTCTGAAACAATTGAATTTCCATCTGGGATTAATAAAGTATTTTTGAATTTGAATTGAACTGAATTACAAAAACTAAATGTGCAGTTTTCCATTACTTGTAGTCCACTTTGCCATCTTCCCCAACCACTTTGGCCCCAGGCTCTTCATCTTCTTTCTTCTTTATACCCATAATATCACCCAACTTGGTGCCTGCCAGTTCCCAGTGTTTGTGCTGCGCCTGAAGGCAGAAACAAAATGTTTGAATCATTTACCGATTTTAAAGGTTTCATCAAGAACAATTAGTGCAAATGTACAAGGAGAAATTTGTGGTGGTAAAAGAAGCAAAGGGTCACTGAGACTGAAAACACGTAGGGATTTAGGAGGCGGTCTCGTCTCACCTTCTTCCGTTCTTTCTGCTCTCGATGTTTCCGGACAAGCTGGCTGCCCTTTCGAGAGATGATGGCCATGTCCGAGGTGGCGTCTTTCACAGGGATGATGGGCTCTGGCTGCAGGATAATAATACACAGATGAGAGAAAAAAAAAAGTTAAAAGAAACTCTGACATTAGTATATCAGATGTGTTGGTTTGATTTAAATCCAAACTTAGTTGAATTAAATAAACTGAAGACTAAAATGTGGTTTTCACCTGTTTAGTGAAGACTATTCTTCCATCCAGGAAGGGAGGGACCAGATTGTGAACTAGCAGGTGAACCTTAGCAGCATTGTCTTCCTCAAAGTCTTCATCCACCTCCAACCTTTGCACCACGCCACTGGTCAACATCCGATTGGTCTCCCATCGCTCATTATCCTAAGAGGAAACGCAAAGCTTGTTAAAAGGTTACAGGAAGCTTGTGCAAAAAGAAACGGATAACACCGTTTGTACCTCGTTGATCTGTCGCTTCTGTGCAGAAATTCTTTTCTGAGTCTGTTTCTGGAGGATTTGCTCTCTCTTCTTCACGTACTCCTCAGAAGTTGTAGTGAAGGGGTTGTGAAACTCATCATAGCCTTCATCCATCATGTACCAATCTCTGTCAGCTTGCTGCATGAAGGAAACAAGTAAAGATCTCAACAGGAGATAGTTTACGATGAAAAACAAATGAAATGATAACGGTAACACTCACCTTCTGGTCATCCTCCCACTGTTCTTTCTCATCTTCATTGTCAAACATAATTCCTCCCTCACGTTCGCTTCTACCTAAAGGAAACACCAAGAACAAAAGGTTAAATGCTTCATTTAAATCCAACATGAGTAAAAAATATTATTTTAGATTAAATTCTGACCAAGCAGTAGAAAATATAAACAAGTTTACCTTTTCCTTGGGATAAGCGAGGCGTGGAACCCAAATGTTTTCTGTCATTGGCCCACTCGTTGTACTTGTAAGATGGTGTAGGTAGGGGTGTGTCGTCAAGGTAACGGCCTTTAACTGATCTAAAATCCCAGCAGGTAAATACGACATTTTAATCACGTTTAAAAGTTTTAGTCAAATGTAAAAACACCAAAACACATTTTTATTGTTTAAAAAAAAAAGAGAGAGAGATTCAAGCATCAATGACTATTTTGTAAAAAAAAAAAAAAAAAAGATAATTAGCATTCTAGAGCTCATAAAAAGAAATGTTCTCAAAGAACAAAACTATAAATTACAACATTAAACACAAACAGGAATAGAACGCTTTAGGGTCATCGAGGTTAAAGGCACAGTTTAAATAACATAACAGTTACCTGTCTCTCCTCTCACTTTCTCTGCCTGAGCGATGGCTTCTCTCTGAGCGGTCTGCCTCCTTGTGAGATGGTGTCGGAGATGGGGACTCCCACTGAGAACGCCTTGAGCTGGCGTAACCGCTGTCATCTTCATCCCAGTTAGAACGGGAAGGGGTGGAGGAATCTATGCAGAAAGAAAAGAAACAAACAAGAACACAGTGTTACGATGGGCGGCCCTCGGGCCGGCTAAGAGCAAATGTTCGCCCCTGTTTCGGGACGGGGCTGCTGGTTTGGAGTCCTCTGACTGCTCCTCCCACATCAGCTGGAGTGCACAGGTGCTTCACATCCCGCTGATGAGGACGCTGAGAGAAAAGGAGCACAGAGACGCGCAGAAAAAAAATGACACGGAAGTTGGAGACGAGAGAGGTTGACGAACTCCGACCCGTTAAAAGCCAAGAGAGGGCAGATGAAGCGGCCTGAGAAACTTTCAAAGAGCGGCTGACTGCTGGAGAGGGATAGGCCGGCGAGCGGGTGGGGAGCTGACGGAGATCGTGAAAAACTTGAACATGATGGAGCCTGAGGAGCCCAACTGAGAACGAGAGGGCAGCCGAGCCGAACTATGAGACTTGATCCGAATGACCTGATCCTGATCTTTAACCGGAACCTAGCGTTTGGGGATGCGGTCCTAAGCCAGTACATGGAACGTTGTGGACGAATGAGTATACCCGGTTCATCTTAAAGCCGTTTCTGTTTTCACTGAGCTCTTCCTTCTAACTTGTCATTTCCTAAAGTCCTGAAGGAAGTTTGGTGTTATTAAGCTCACAGCATTCCTGTTTTGCTTAAAGCCAAGTCGGCCCACCCTCCTGTTGACTCTTGAACTTGAGGAACAGCCTCACGGCCCGGAAAAGGACTGGATGCTAGAAGAGAATTGTCTTTCCAACGTGATTGGTGGTTTTAAAGTGTGCGCCTTAACAATAGAGGTGTGAATCTTCACTTGTCTCCCGATTCGATTCGATTACGATTATTGGGTCAACGATTCAATTCGATTCGATATCCCGATGCATCACGATTATTTCATATTGATTTGTTTTCATCGATAAATAGAAGATGTCAGATAACTGCTTTTTATTTATTTTTATCAAAAACGTAATTGACACAACCTGCCATCCCTCAAAATCTCTCCATTCACAACAGGTTAGGACAAAACATTTTAAACATTTAAGAAGATTTAACAAAGTAAAACAATCTGTTTCCTCGTTCAACACCACGCATCAGGCTGAGAAAAACACGCTTTGCAAAAACTCACAAAATCTAAAAAAGGTACTGAAAACCTACAGGACACATCATGTAATAATAAAATCCATAATGTGTTCATACATGAGTGTTTAATGTCTCTGAGCAGCTCTAGAGTCAAATATTTATGCCACAGTTCAAGGAAGTCAGAAATAACACCAAATGAAATGTTTGACTTAGTTTATTTTATTTGAACCCAGTGGTTCGTTTCTGAAATGTTGGAGAATGAATCAAGTTCTGTTTGATGCAGAAAATAATAAAACACAAAACAAATTCTACACTTCCAATATTTAAGATGTGTGTTTTATTCTTTCTGATAATAACACCAGCAGAAGGCTGTGGGCTGGATTAGGATTAAATTACCCAGCTGATGGATCTCCTTCAGTAACCAGCTAACTACAAACCTTTCCACTAACCTGTCCTGTGGGACCCTCACCCTGTAACCCTCGTGTCCATGCTGTCTCTGGAGGAGCATAGGAGACAGACCTCCTGTAACTTAAAATGAACCAAAGCTTCCTCCCAGCTTCTCTTTAAGATGAGTTTAACACCAGTTTATCATCATGAAACAAAATAATAAAGTGGAACAAGAACTTCTATTTCTCTCTCCTTTTAACTTCTCCGTGTCCCTAAATAAAAGAGACAGACGATCACGCTGCAGCCGCTGTCACTGACCCCGCCCCCTCCCCAAGACCGGCTCTCCCTACATTACAACAAGCAGTCTGACTGAGCACTTCCAGGAGAAATAATAATTAAATTATGAAAATAATAACGCGTGTTTGGAGGAGCGTCCTCCGATCGTCTCTCTGAGCAGACAGTGTCTCTCTCTCTCTCTCTGTCGCTGATCGAGCGAGCGGAGCGCGCCGCACGACAACCGCTCAATTAACATAATTCACGGCCCAAATCCAACAGAACCGGTCGGGCTGATTCGGTTCCGGTTTGGTCTCGGGTGACAACTCTAGCGCTCAGCCCTGCAGTACCACATTAAGGCGGAGGTAAATGTGGAGGACGCTCACTCTGACAGATTTGGATGCTGCGCTGGTGCCGCCATTAAAAAAACAAAACTACATTCCACTATAATCGATTATGGCGTACTCTTCTACGATGCAGAATCGTTTATGTCCGCATCCCGATGCATCGATTATTTGATTATTTTCCTCAGCTCTACTTAACAACACATTTTGTTTATCTCCCCAGGGTGGGTTTCTACCCTTGGGGTCTAATCTAGCCTTTTAGTTTGGTTTTGATTATTATCATTGTTAATGAGTATTCTCTCTTGGACATCTTTAGTTGGGGTTAGTTTCCAGGCTTTTAACCTGAAATAAACCTGTTTGTTTTGTGATTTAAGAAATTGTTTATGTTTAAGAATAAAAATCGTTATTCTTTTTTTAAAAGGAATGGACTCGTCTCCCTTTCATGCTGCAAGCCCTCAGACTCCTGGCAGGTCACACTTGAGTTTGTAACACACAGTACATTTGGATAAATACAAACGTACTGTACATACAGACCCTTCGGATAAAAGCATCAACCAATTGCACAAACTTTGATCGCCCAGGCGAAAATAAAGAAAACAAACCTTTGGGTGGATGCTGTGGTGTTGAAGGTTCCTCTCTCTTACTCCCTCTGCTGATGCGCTCAGACCAGCCGTCTTTCTGTGAGCGCACACTTCTCTCACTGCGCTCTGATCGATTACTGCTGCTGCCACCGCGACTAGATCTGCTGTCTCGCTCATCTGACAGAGAGAAGAGAAAGCTAAATCTTATATTCAACTCACACTTTTTTAAGTGGTCAAATGTGGAGAGCAAATTTCGCACATACATCAGTGTGTGACAACTGATGGGACTTTAACTTTAAAAATCATAATCCACTTTCCGAAACATGCTTTAATTCCTTCATTTATGTAAAATAATTACATTTCTGTTTGATCTGCAGCAGAAAAATTGCTCCAATTTCACAACCAAGCAACACTCAGTAAAGCAGACACCAACGTATCATCACGATGAACTACAAAGACCAACATTACAAGAATAATAATCTGAGATCTTTGGAAAATCACCTCTTTCACTCCTGTGCTCTCTGCCTTTATCTCTGTTCTTGTCCTCCTTGGAGGAGGCATAGACTCCGTGTTCACGCCTGTCTTTCTCTCTTTGCTGATGTCTGCGTTTGAACTCTTCACTGACCCCTCCTGGGTTAGAGGGTGTCTCTGAGCCGGTCACACGGTACTTCCGGCTAGAAGAAAATTATTTTTTTATAGCAAAACTGAATTTGTTCATGAGTAGTCAAACCTTTTCATATATTTCCCAGAACGTTTTAACAGAATTTACCTCTCCTTCTTGGCACAAGTTGTATCGTTGTCCTCCTCATCTGAACCAGAGTCACTTTTATTTTCTTCCCAGTCCTTGTAAGAGGAAACCTTTGACTTCTTTCTGTTTCTTTCATCATCTTTAGAATCTTCCTGCTCTTTAGTCTCACGCTCCTTCCTTTTCTGAGCAGCTAGAAGATCCAAGCCCAACAATGATGTTCGTGGTGTGGGTGCCCGGAAAACATGGGGCTCTGCTGCAGCACTCTTCTTCTTTACTATCAAACCACCAACCTGAGCTGTGGGATCTGTCCCCTCCAGCCTGTGCATGGACATGTCCTCGTCATCCATATTCTATGGGGAAAATATGGAAACACAAAAAAGATAAAAATCTGATAACCTACTAAAGTGTGGCTTATAATAACAAAAGCAAAGTATATTAGAGCTGAGGCTTCTAGGTATGCTACTAAAACACAAAATTGAAATTGAATGCTAGTGATATTCCAATTGTTTGTCATTATGTAGATTATATTTCCTTAATTATTCAAAACAAGTCTTATATATAGAAGTCTATTTTTAATTCATTGATTTCTAAATTCAGCCACTGTACACTTTTGCCTCTCAAATCTCTAAATAGTTATTTATTAGCCTCAATAGTAATTGCATTATTACATCCTTAATTGGGGAAAGAAGAAAAAAATACGTCTGCCAAATACATGAACTATTTCAGATAAGAATTCAGCCACACTAACAAACCATTTAGTCATCAAAATCTACTACTTCCTAACGTTTTAATCATGCGATGCGACCGGATTGATGTGTTAGTTTTTTTCATGACCAATGAAAATAAAAATTATACTAAACGATTATCTAGACTTTCAATAATGTCTGTGTTTAACGTACCTCAGTTTGAGAGGCTAATGCTAACGCTAACTGCTCCAGTCACGATAAAAGCGGACTACAGAAAACGCCAGCGACTTTCTCTAGATGTAAAACAAAATATTCCAACAGAATCGTCTATGTCTCATGTTAACCAAATGACAAACCTGTGTTTGAGACGTTTTGGACTTGAAGTCCTATAAAAGAATTAAATTGCGGGCTTCGTAAACGCAACGCCAATGTTTACGCACAAGAAAGCAGACATTACAATCCCATCATCCCCTTCTTCGTCTACGCCAGTGTGACGCTAAAGGTGCGTTGCTGCCCCCACAGGCAACGTGACGAGTGTACAAACATGAAGAGCATCATAAAGAAATATTGCTGTAAAATGGCATAAAATATATTCTTTGTCTAACAATCCGCCCCACAATTAGGAATAAAGTACATCTACAGTTGATCATAAGTACCTTGAAACATTACCAAGATCAAAAATCAGGATAATTTAGAACGATAGCACTCCAGCCAATAGAGACTTGCAAGTGACACACTGCATTTGCTCTATGGATTTTTCTCAGTCATGAAGAATACTGTGCATAAGACAGTTTGTAGATTTACTATGTGGATTCTACTGTTTTGTAATGTATTTGAAAAAGCAATTTTTGTGTTCTATTTAAATCTCACAAATTTGAGAGAAATTTGTCAAAAAATGTTATTACTTTTTTATACATTTCTTGACAAATGTATTTAGTGGTTATGCCGTGTTTTTCTTTCATTCATACAGAGCATTTTTCTATATGTTCTTGTTACTTTTCAAAAATTCCTATTAATTTAGTCAACTTTCCATTTAACTGTTATACAAAGCTAGTCTGGCAACCAATTTCATATGTGAATACATACACATACGTGCAGAGTAAAATCATGTTGCTTTGACAACTGTCTGTCTACAAATGTAGGCTAATATCAAGCTCTTGTACTTGACCCTTTTACATATTTTATAGATTAAAATATTAGTTTAAAGATACAACTTATAAAAAACATAAGAAGACAAAGTTACAGTGCAAAACCAAATACACAGCACGGAAAACCTAAAGAGGCCAAGCAATAATGTGAAATGTTTAAAAACTGTAAAGAAAGAGAAGAGAACATAACTGCCTCTGTCATCTTGTAGTTGATCCTGTTGCATATCAACAGCATCCTTATGCCTCACAGGGGCCCTGTTTGAGGCAGTGTGAGATTGTTTAGTTATTGATAAGAAACACTGAGAATGATGCAGATTTAGCTCTCTATAGTTGTTTACATTTATTTAATATTGTTTATTTATAAGAATATACATAATGTGTGTGTGTGTGTGTGTGTGTGTGTGTGTGTGTGTGTGTGTGTGTGTGTGTGTGTGTGTGTGTGTGCGTGTGTGTGTGTGTGTGTGTGTGTGTGTGTGTGTGTGTGTGTGTGTGTGTGTGTGTGTGTGTGTGTGTGTGTGTGTGTGACAGAAGAGTGTATACACAAAGCGCATGCGCCTTCTTGTCAACTCTACAGTGTCCTGATCTGAAAGAGGCTCAATCTGATTGGCTAGCAGCCAGAAGCTCGCGCGCTGGTTGGCCACTGGTCGAGCCTGCGCTCGCCGCTGGTGAAGTAACAGGGACGTCATTGGTCTGCTTCACATGTCTGCTGATGTATCGAAGTGGAATATTTAACGACTTCGTAACCTTCTTGGCGTCAGAATCTTATTTTTGTTCGTGTGTCTCTTTTTGTCGGTGAAAGTCAGAGCTTTCTATAAGACAGAAGCGCTCCCATTTTGTTGAAATTGGGAGGAAGGCTGACCTACCGGAGTTAGCTAGCTAACAATAACTAGCTTTTCGTTAACCATACATTATTTTTGTGCAGACGTCGGAATGGACAACGATAAAACGTCAGATGGCGGCGTGAAGTTTTACACGTTAGAAGATGTTAGAGTGCACAATATGATTAATGATACGTGGCTCATTATTCATGACAAAGTATACGACATCTCAAAATTCCTAGAAGAGGTAAGAAAGAAGCACTTTAGTCACAACTTATGAACTTGACTCAGGGTCTGGTTATGTCATGTTCTTGGAAATTACTTCCTGAAATTGCCAAGGCTTCCTGGAGTCGTGTTCAAAATAGGGGAAAAAGCCTTCTTTTTATGTTGTTTCAGACGATATACCTTCCTGGATAACATTAATGAGAAACATTAAACCAACATTTACACCTTTCTTTCAGATATTTAAATTAAAACATAACTTATCTGTCTGTACCATCAGTCTGTACTTTGTGTCCACCACCACGTGACTACTCACGGTGACACAGCATGAATTTAGAAGCTGATCCTGTAACTTCTTTTAGTTGGAGTTTGTGTTGGGTTGGATAGAGTCCTTTAAACACGTGCTGATGAGTCTGAAGCTTAATTGATCATCAGATGCTTCTGAATGAGCTGGACGTTTTCTACTGAAACAGCATCTTGGGTCATTTAGCAGTTGTACCAGAGTCATTTTATTCTGACTTGCTCTTTTAACTTTTACACGTTTATCGTTCATTAGCATCCAGGCGGTGAGGAGGTGTTGCTGGAGCAGGGCGGTGCTGATGCCACAGAGAGCTTTGAGGATGTGGGTCATTCATCAGATGCAAGGGAGATGCTTCAGCAGTACTACATTGGGGAACTTCATGTGGTAAGAAAAGTTCATTTCCCTCATGTGCTATAGCTTAGCTCTGCTTGGTTAAAACCCAAAACTGGTGTCATTAAGTAGACGTTTGTTGTGCAAATCACAAGTTTGTGCATCACAAGACTTACATTTGACACACTTTTAAAGGAGTTCAGAAGCATGCATGGAAAAGCATCAAATTAGTTTGTTACACTGTGATAAGGGTGATCATGAGGGTGATTACCTGAGAGTGAGCTGTGGTTCTGCGTCCAGTTAGAAACGGCACTTTTGTTATGTGTTCCTTGTCTGCATGAATCAAACCAAGAACCCAACAGGTTTTTTTTTTAGTTTTAGAAACTCTAAATTTAGAAATCTGTCAATTTTGTCTTTAATTGGATGAGACAGCTGAACAGCATGTTGCTTAAATGCATTTAACACTGATAACAAAAGCAAGAATACAACAAAGAAAAAGTACTTAAAGAGCAAGTCACCCCCTACAAGAAACTTACTTCACTCCCACTTCATGTTTGAAAAATGCAACAAATGCTGTTGCTTGGCAGACCGAGAGGGCGGAGCTGCTAACAAATACACACACTCACAGGCTCACAATGGAATTATGACATCATAATACACCAGATGACATCATAGCATACCTCTTAGCCAATAGCGGTGGCAAATTTAAATTCAAATACAGTGCAGAATTTTTCCCTGACGACGGCGCAACACTGACCGTTTTAGGCAGAATATTTGAATTTTAACCAAGATGCACTGAACTGCCAAATTATTGACTACACGTGTCTGTAGCATGATTAGACACTCCTTTATATAGTTTATCAGCAAAAAAAAAAAGTGATTTGGGGGTGACTTGCTCTTTAATTAAAAATGATATTTCATTTTCTTATTTCTATTTTGCTGTTTCTTTTTTGCATGTTTTGGCTAATTTGTCACACTTTTTCCTAATGAAAAACCTGCCACACACACACACACACAAAAGAAATCTATGATTGCATAATTACTGACAACCCAGTGGAACGTACCACCGACCGAAAAGCTATAATGAGCTTTCTGTGTCGGATCTCGTATGAATGAGCGTGTTTGCAAATATCATGCACGTGACTGTGATTATAATAATCAGGAAGGATCATTTTCATCATGCATTTACTCGTTTATCTCCAGGTTTGATTATTTTGTGATGGAATGTTTTTTATGAATGTATTTAGTGACAGGTACTCTGCACCATATTAAGATAGTAATAGGTTTTGTCTTTTGCAGGATGATAGAAAAAAGGAAAAGAAAAAGGTATGGCCAACTATTTTTTACACAAGCTGTTTTTGATTCGTGTCATTTAAAATTCATGACCCTTTATTGACCCCACAGTTGGAAGTCGCAAATTCAGGAGAGTCCAGGTGAGTCTGTATTGTCAAAATGTATTTTCATGTTCATTTCTCTGATGATGCTGCATATGCAAAGGGAACAGCAGGTTGTACATTTGAAAATCTCTTCTTGGTTTGGTTTGCTGTAGCTCCTGGACCATGTGGTTGGTACCTGCTGTCATCGCAGCTGTTGTTGGTGTCGTGTATCGGTTCTTCGTGTTTGAACAAAAGTCATCCTGAGTGCTGGAGTTCTGTTTTCACCTCATTCTTTGCATCCCGGGGCCTTGGAACATTTAAACCAAACCCTTCTCATGCTGAAAACACACAATTAGGACGATCTGCCTCGTCTGCAGCAAGAAGAGAGCAACGATTTTAAAAAGGATCTGTTTTTGTCTGTTTTCAAGGGGTGCATCCGAACTTCCACAATGCCATTTTTTAGGTTTTCTAAAGCGAAAAGTACAAATGCTCCACGAGTGTCTGTTAGATTCATGAGCTAAATGAGTTTCAACTGTTGAACAAAGTTTTATTCAATTTATCACTTGCAATTAGTCTGTCAAGTTTTATAAATGTACTGTTAATTCTTCTTTGTTCCATTTAAAGAATCATGAGGATTAATTATAAACATGTCACACTCATCGTCAAATATCATAGCTGACATAAAAATGTGATTTTCTTCTAAATGTAATGAGTTGAGTTTTTCCTCAAACTGTTTGTTTATTATCTGATTTTTCTTTATGACACGTTCTTTCATTTTTTGCATATTTGTTTTATATACAGGGGAAAAACTGTTGGGTTAGAATTATTTACCTTAGAGGTGTGTGTGTGTGTGTGCACGTGTGTGCACGTGTGAGAGAGAAAATCTTTTCTATAGCGCTCTCAAGATAAAAATCACGAGGCGCTTCACAAAACTGAGAGAGAGATTGACAAAGGAGTTTCACAGACAACTTTGAAGCCTTAGATGGGCGTCATTCTTTTCTCAGGTGGTTATCGTTTCAACATTCCGGCTCCCGTATGTGTTTTGTCCCATGGGCGGGATGTTGGAATCAAGCATTTAATATTTTAGATACATAGGAAATTGTAATTTATTATTTTAAGAACATTAAAAAAGTACTTTAGGTGTCATCCACTCCTGTTTGGCAGGGTGTCTTTTACATTAATTCTTTAAACACGTGGTCGTCTAACTGAATATTGTCAGTTTTCAAGAAAAATATTTGTTCTTTCTTTGGTCTCTGGCATTTCCTACCATTAAAGCTCTGAATCAATCTGCTGATTCCTGTGATTATGTTTGATTCTCTGTTTTCCAACTTTGTGATGATAAATGAACAGCCAGAATTCCTCTTTCAATTGAAAAATTGAAAATTATCATGTATTCATCAGCCTTTAAATCGATTTTTCCTTTGATGTACCTTCTGCGCTGTAAATGCTCACCATTTAACTTTGTCTTTTTATAGTAAGTGCATTTTATTCATATAGCACTTATCACAGACACAGAATCACAGTGTTTCACATAGATCAAAACAAAATAAAACAGTCATAAAATCAAAATGCTCTCAAAACAGAATCAGATTAACATCAGAAAAAATGTCATCAGATTATAAAATTTCATAAACAGATGAAAGATTAAAAATTTGAGTTAAAAATAAGAAAAACGTTTTAGGTAAAAGCAGCTTTAAATAAAAGGGTCTTTAGCTGTTTTTTAAAAGTCCAGACTGTCAATGCTGCGTAAGGATAAAGGAGTCCCTTTATCCTTATGCCAGTGTCGGGGTGCAACAGTCTGGAAGGAGCGATCACCTCGTCCTTTGTATCTGGTCATTTAGAACTTCTAGAAGGTTCTGGTGGATCTGAGGGCTCGGGTTGGAACATAAGGCTTTAACAGTTCAGTAATATAGGGAGGAGATTGACCACGTAGAGCATTGAAAGTTATATTCAGGATTCTCAAATGAACTCTAAAGTTAACGGGTAACCAGTGCAGAGACATAAGAATAGGAGTGATGTGTGCTCTTCTGTTAGCTCCAGTTAGAAGCCTCGCTGCAGAGTTCTGGACCAACTGAAGGCGGTCAAGGGCTTTTTTGTTATAACATGTGAAAAGTGTGTTACAGTAATTAGACGGGAGGAGATAAAGGTGTGGATAACCAGTTCAAGTTCATGTTTTGACACTAACCGTCACAGTTTGGAGGTATTTCTTAAAGATAAAAACAGTTTCGGACCAATGTTTCTGAGTGACCTTCAAGAGACACTGAATGGTCAAAAAGAACACCCAAATTCCTTAAGTTTGTCTTGACGGCAGAGGATAAATGACCAAGTTTTAGACTAATCAGGGGAACCATGCTCTCAAGGGCAATGATCAGACATTCAGTCTTTTCAGAGTTTAACTGAAGGAAGTTATCTTCTAGCCAGCTGGTGATAGCTGAAAGACACTCTAGCAATTCAGACAGTTTGTAGAACTCAGAATCCTTAAAGGAGCAGTACAGCTGAATATCATCTGCCTATAGGTGATAGACATTATGAAAAGAATCAAGTATCTGTCCAAGAGGGTGTATGTACAGCAGAAACAACAGTGGACCCAAAACAAAGCCTTGGGGTACCCCACAGAACAGATCAGTAGAATCTGGCATGATTTGGTTATTACAGACACTATAACTTCTGTTAGAAAGGTATGATCTAAACCAGTCTAGAACAGTTCCAGAGATCCCCACCGAGTCACCAAGTCTGTTAATTAGCATTGTTTATCCAATGACTGGATAAACAAGCTTGGATCATCACCCTGAACTGAGTTGCTGTTAAATAATCTAGAAAATCCATCCACTGCTGACTGATTAATGATACATCTCTTTGATTTCAGGTTGTGAGGGACAGATTCAGCATAAGATAGGACATTAAAGAATAGGACATTAAAGAAAATGCAGCTGTGGTCACTCACATTAACCTCTTCAACATGTAAATGATCAATTTTGTGTCCCAAAAAGAAAGCAAGATCTTGAGTGTGGCCCATTTTGTGTGTGGGGCCTGAAACGTGCTGCTTTAAGTTAAAAGACTCCATAATAGACATGAACTCCACTGCTGTGCTACAATTAGGATCATTAATGTATAAGTCAAAGTCACCAAGGATTAAAACTTTTTCTAGTTTTATCATTGATGATAGAAATTCTGCAAATTCAGAGAGAAAAGGGCCAGCTGGGCCGGGAGGTCGATAGATTAAAATACAGTGAAATACATTTTGTAACCCTGCTTTGATGACCTGACATTCAAAAGTTGTAAAAGGGCCATTTTTCACCAGATTACAGACATGCTTGTCCTTAAAGACCACAGCAAGACCTCCACCACGACATGTCGGGCGTGATGTGGTAAACACAGAGCTATTTGGTGGACATTTTTCATTGAAATGTACAAAATAGCCATGTTGCTGCCACATCTCCATAATAAATAAATAGTCCAACTTTTCTCTGGTGAACAGCTCATTTAAAATAAAGATTTTTTTTTAGATGGAGCGGGCATTTAACAGGGCACATTGAACTGAATCCTGGAGAACATTTGTCTTCTTAACCTGTTGGAGAGGGATGGGCCGTAAACATCTGGTGTTCTGGGTTCTCTGGCCATGAATACAGTTTATGTATTTGCTGGTTGATAAATGAAATGGAATAGGAAAACTTTTGGGTTTGTCAGCAGAAGACAAAATTTTGGGGATTGCAACCTTTGGAAGACACACAGAAGACTGTTGCATCATGGGAGGACTGTTGGGAGTGATGTTATTTGAAGTAGAGGTTTGAGCAAAGGCCGGAGAAGGTGAAGATCTCTGAACCTTCATGTCTGTGGAAGGGAATCCACCATAGATATATATCTATGGGACTGCACAGCATACTGGATGTTAGTGGTTAGCATGCTTGAGCCATGTCGGTTAGGGTGAATACCATCTCGTCAAATGTTTAAAAATTCTAATTTGGAAATAACTGATTTTCTTTTACAAGGAAAACTCGTTATTAATCAATTTAATCAATTTCCCTCTGGGATTAATAAAGTATTTTTGAATTGAATTTAATTGAATTATTAAAAAGATTCTAAGGAGAAATAAATAATGGATTTAGAGGTCGAAGACAACACATTTAAATCAAAAAGTGAGTGCTGCATATTAGAATAGAACAGATTGTGAGGCAGCGCACACACTTAGAGAATAGGAATAAATGATAAGGTAAATACACAAGGGCATTGGGCTATTATTTTAACCTTGAGCAATTAAAAAATGAATAAAAAAAGAAAATAAAGTTTCCAAGAGCCATTGTCATTTAATGTAAAATCTAAAAAAGTGAGCAAATTTTCATAAAATCTTCCCATGGGCTCACCACTCTTGGGAGGGGCCAAATGGGTCAGGTGCAGTGTGTGAAGGGTGGTAGTCGAGGGCGGGGACCTTGGCGGTCTGATCCTCAGCTACAGAAGCTGGCTCTTGGCACATGGAATGTCACCTCTCTGGTGGGGAAGGAGCCTGAGTTGGTGTGTGAGGTTGAGAGGTTCCGGCTAGATATAGTCGGACTCACCTCAACGCTTGGCTCTGGCTCTGGAACCACCTTCCTTGAGAGGGGTTGGACTTTCTACCACTCTGGAGTTGCTCCAACTGAGAGGTGCCGAGCAGGGGTGGGCATACTAGTTGCCCCCCATCTTGGTGCCTGTACGTTGGGGTTTACCCCAGTGAATGAGAGGGTAGCCTTCCTCCACCTACGTGTGGGGGGACAGGTTCTGACTGTGGTCTGTGCTTATGCACCAAACTACAGTTCAGACTACCCACCCTTTTTGGAGACCTGGAAAGCGCTCCTTCCGGTGACACCCTCGTTCTGCTGGGGGACTTTAATGCTCACGTGGGCAACGATAGTGAGACCTGGAGAGGTGTGGTTGGGAGTAACGGCCCCCCTGATCTGAATTTGAGTGGTGTTTTGTTATTGGACTGTGCCAGTCATGGATTGTCCATAATGAACACCATGTTCAGACATAAAGGTGTCCATATGTGCTCTTGGCACCAGGATACCTATGGCCACAGCTCGATGATCGACTTTGTTGTTGTTTTATCTGACCTCCGGTCGCATGCCTTGGACACTCGGGTGAAGAGAGGGGCGGAGCTGTCATCTGACCACTACCTGGTGGTGAGTTGGCTCAGATGGTGGGGGAGGATGCCGGTCAGACCAGGCAGGCCTAAACGTATCGCGAGGGTCTGCTGGGAACATCTGGCAGAGTCTCCTGTCAGAAGAAGCTTCAATTCCCACCTCCGACAGAACTTCCAAAATGTTCTGGGGGAGGCGGGTGAAATTGAGTCTGAATGGACCCTGTTCCGTACCTCCATTGTTGAGGCGGCCGACCGGAGCTGTGGTCGCAGGATCGTCGGTGTCTGTCGTGGTGGCAACCCCATGAACCCGCTGGTGGACACCGGCAGTTAGGGATGCTGTCAAGCTGAAGAAAGAGTCCTATCAGGTCTTTTTGGCCTGTGGGACTCCAGAGGCAGCTGACGGTTACCGGCAGTCCAGGCGGAACGTGGCTCGGGTGGTCTCCAAGACAAAAACCCGGGCATGGGAGGAGTTCAGTGAGATCATGGAGCAAGACTTCCGTACGGCTTCGAGGAGATTCTGGTCCACCATCCGGTGCCTCGGGGAGGAAAGCAGTGTGCTACCAACACTATCTATAGTGGGGACGGTGTGCTGCTGACTCTACTCAGGACGTTGTGGATTGGTGGGCAGAACACTTCGAAGACCTCCCCAATCCCACCGATACGTCTTCCAGTGAGGAAGCAGAGTCTGGCGACTTTGAGTTGGGCTCTCAAATCTCTGGTGCTGAGGTCACTGAGGTGGTTAAAAAGCTCCTCTGTGGCAAGGCTCCAGGGATGGATGAGATCCGCTTGGATTTCCTTAAGGCTCTGGATGTTGTGGGGCTGTGTTGGCTAACGCGGCTCTGCAATATCGCGTGGACATCGGGGGCAGTCCCACTGGCCTGGCAGACCGGGGTGGTGGTTCCCTTATTTAAAAAGGGGGACCGCAGGGTGTGTTCCAACTACAGGGGGATCACATTCCTGAGCCTTCCTGGTAAGGTCTATTCAGGGGTTCTGGAGAGGAGGGTCTGTTGGATTGTTGAACCTCAGATTCAGGAGGTGCAATGTCGTTTTCGTCCTGGCCGTGGAACACTGGACCAGCTCTATACCCTTAGGGGAATCCTGGAGGGTGCGTGGGAATTAGCCCAACCAGTCTACCTGTGTTTTGTAAATTTGGAGAAGGCATTTGACCGCGTC